TTCTGCCATGATCCGATTGTTAGGAAGTTTAGGCGCTGGCTCCCTCCAGGGAGGAGCTAGTTGATAATGGCCATCAATCAACGTGGCTGAATTCTCCATTACTGCTAGAGCCCTTATATCTTCAACGGACATAAAGACCTTGCAATCAGGGATCAGACCAGCATTGTCAGTCTTCCAGAATCTTTCAAGTTGCTGCATGAGAACATCTTCTTCTTTCTCAACATTTACTACTCTCATAAAGTTTACACAGTAATGGCTATTCTTGCATTCCAGTCTGTCTATAGGACCTATCAGCGTCCATCCCAGCGGTGAACAAATAGCGTATGGGTCACCTTTCTTGCTACGCCTTTCTTCCAGTACCCAGAAGGCCTCTGAGACATTACATCCAATGATCGGTCGACCTTAGTCTCTTCGATGCTTGGCAAATTGATGACTTGCAAATGAGGCCTTCTTCTAATGTCTTGGCCGGTTGGAATGCTGTGGCTCGAGGCGTTTACCTTTTCAACAGTCCACAGTTTCTGGATTTCTAACTTGTCCGACCCGTCGATGGCCTTATCTTTTAAGCTTATCTCTTGACCAAACTTAAGACTATCTTGCTTCTCTTACGTTGTTAAGTAGAACGTTCTCTGTTGTTCTTGAATTCCCAGCTGCGCTGCCAGGCCTTTAGCACACAAGGACACATCCGATCCATTATCAAGAAGGGCTTAGGTCAACAGTTCCTTGTTCGAGGTCTGACTACGAACCTTCACTGGCACTATCCTGAGGCATACTTTACCACTTCCGGCTAAGGTATTGTTCGATTTTCCACCTTGGATAAGGGGGAGACCGGTGGCTTAAGTAGCTCGAGTATCTTGGGATCCCTTTGGTATCTGGGTGGTCTGAGTGACGCTCTCTTCACTGGCCTGATTAACGCTCGATACTTGATGATAGGGAGCATGGAGCAGAGTGTGATGCCTTCGCTTACAACCATCAACTTGACATGCACCCTTGGTTACGCAGCCCTGAGCAATATGACCATATTGGAAACAGATGTGGCAAAGCTGAGCGTTCCTCATTATCTGAACACGCTCATAAAAGGTCTTTCTTGCAAAGTTCTGACATTTCATCAAAAGGCGATTTCCGTTACAGGCCGGGCAAACACGGATCTTCCCATTTAAATGCACACACCCTGAACCACACCTTGACTGGTTGCCTTGATTGCCTACCGCGGTTCTTTGGGCGTTAAGCGTGGTGATAAGGGTGAACGATGGGTCACTCGATTTTAAACGTAGCTTTGATTTAGTGCCACTCCGTTTACTTTCAGATGTAACATCCATAACGCTTCTAAATACTGGACTATTTGCTGCCCTTGCCTTTGTGCTACGAACGCGAAAATGTCTTCAATGTTTGGTCTCTTACCAGATTATTGAATAGCGTCTGTCACTAAAACGAACTTAGTACGAAGATGAAATGGCAACCTTTGTACAATTCTTCGGTTATCCGCGCTGTTGTTTTCATCTAGATAACCCATAGACTCGAGGTTGTGCTCACAGTTTTTCAGTTTGTCAGCAAATTCAAGTAGCCCTGAACGATCGGACGGCTTTATTTTAGGACCTTCAGTGATTTCGCTGACAAACTAGGCAGCAATTGTATACGGATGACCAAAGCGCTCCTTGAGCAATTTCCTTGCATCCATATATATACCCTTTGAAAGATGCATTACCACGCAGCACTCAATCGTCTTCTTCGCATCGCCCATTGTGTACTGCAGTAGATACATGAGCTTCTCGCTTTCATTCATTGCGTTTCGTTCAATAGTATTTCAAATGACTGGATAAAACTCCAATACTCCATAGCGTTGCCATCAAATACGGACAGTTCTGGTTTGGGCAATACAAATCCTTGCCTTATCGTCGAGCGCAGCTTATCTAGCACGTCTTCAACAATGGCAAAATCGCTGTCAACTGAATCTGTAGGAGAGAGTTCATTATCCGGCCTGAATACGGGGTACGTATACTCCTTCGCGTGAGGGTTGAGCCGTGAACTTGTGACGTCGTTATCGCTAACAAACTTTGGTCTTTTCAATGTGAGTTTTGACATCTTTAACTTTGGGCTCAACAACGCGTTTTGACCTAACTCCTCCAGCACACAAACCAGGTTGCCTGAAAATGTTCGGTACTGCTCCACCTAAGGCGGAATAATCTTCAAGGATCTTTACTTGAACAGCCGCCTGCTCGAGTTCATATTTAGCTTCTAGAAATTGACGTTCCATTTTAATTTCCTCTTTTTATCGCAAAAGGTATTATTTTTCCTTCAATTGCTCCATTTTAAAGCGTGCCAAAGCTTTCTTGGCCTTTAACTGCTTAATAGATACCCGTGTCGAGTTGCGACTTCGAAAAGAACCAGTCGCACTTACGGAATCTTCCGGTCGGATCTATGTTCCCTCAGGAGTTCTAGAATTAACGAGATTTTACTTCGTCGACCCAGCGCTTGCAGGTATTTGAATCGAAATGATCCTTTCTCTGACAATGTTCTTGGAAATAGCGTCCTTCACTTGCGATTCCTCGAGATCTCCAGTTAGTGCTGTGATGTCGATCGTCGTAGTGAGCTCAAGTTCCTCAAAACGACCAAATGCTTCATTAACTTCCAACAGTTTCTTTGAGACTTCTTCGACGTTTCTCGCATCTTCTAGGAGGGCCTCAGTAGCTCGACACAACGTTGTGACTCTCGCCAAACATCCCGATCTTGAATTCTGAAATCGACGACTTCCGAGGGCTTCTAGATCTGTAGAATGGACTCTCCTACCTCGACTTCCAAACACATCCATAACGAAGACGCATAAATCTTCGAATGAAATGTAATCAAAATCCACGCGTCTAAGAAATTCCCACTTTTACTAGAGATTCGCTAAAAACAAACGCGCATGAACAAGTTAAATATACAGAGCAGGAAACCAAAACGAAATACAAATAAAGCAAGCAAAAATGGCGGAAAAATAACGAAACTTACAAGATTTCTGTGGCCACTACGACGACTAAAATATAATGACAACGACAACTAGAAAACTAACGGCAGAAGAAGCTATACCAAACAATAGAAACAACGGATGAAAAAATGGATAGGAAAATATGCAACGTTACGTAACCGAAAATAACTGGCGAAACTACAGTCGAACCTCCCGTAAGCGATCACCCAAAATGTTAAGCCTATGTGGTCGCTTACAGGAGGTGGTCGCTTACGAGAGCTTAGAACTGCATA